ATATATATTATATATAATGTATAATATATTTTATATGTATATAAAATTATGTAGTACCATACCATTTGATGTTTACATTGGAACGTGAAAATGGTACACAAATTTCTAAAGTGGTAGAAGGTGGTATTAAATGGCTCATAATGCCATGGCAGCCACTAGTTACATCAGACAGAGGAGTACTCACTGCAGTCGAGGAAGCTCTCAATAACACTGTCGATATTAATCATATATTACACACGTGTCAGTTTATAACAAATGTTATGATGCAAGATTTTCCAGCAGAAGTTTTTCTTCAGCGACCAGCAATAATTACGGTTAATATTTTCTTTTATAAGAAATTAGACATAAGTACACGCACGTGCACACATGTACATATACACATGCACATATGTACATATATATTGATGTTTTGAATGATAAAATAAACTCCTAAAATAATTATAGATACTTCACGGTCTTCTTAAATCAAGTACCAGCATGTCGGAAACAAATATTGAGTGCATAGTTCCAACCGTGTTAAAAACCTTACGTAAACTGACTCGTTCTCTAAGATTTCGTATTTATTACTATTGTGAACCATGCATAGCAAATAAAAAGCAAAAGGTAATACTTTTACTTGATACGGAAACTATATCTTTTGATGTTTAATGAAATAATGGTTATCAAGATTTCTTATTAACTATTTTATTAAATTTCTTCAATGTTTATTTTTTATATAGTTACTAGGTGGCAAATTGGACAGCAATGTTTACACGTCTTCAGAAGGTGGAGATGGTCCAGATGGTGCTGTACCTGAAGCAAATTATCAAGCGTATCAATCAGCAGTGAGTAAACTAAATTTTGATTTTTCAAGCAGATTTATTATTTTTGAAATCACTTTATTATATAATATTTTTTTAGGGGACTAGTGACAGAAGTCATAGTATCAGCGATGTCGACGATTCTGCCTTGCAACTGCAGCAAATGTTACTGCCAGTTTACTGTATAGAATCGTTGAAACACGTTCTTATCCAGTTAAGCATTCCTGTCGATTCTATATTTCCTTTACGAAACATCAAATATATCACAGATCTAACACATGAACTAGTACAATTATTAACAATTACTGTAATGCCGAATATCTGGTTGTGCAATGACGGTACGGCCCTGAAGATAAATGATGATTTAAAAGCATTATTCAACTTAATGGGAGAAGTGATGGAGTATTTTGAAAATTGTGGCAATGTGGATCATTTGAGAATAACATATTTGTATCTTACTACCATTATTATGAAATTGTTGAGCAGTATTGTGCCATTAGAGCTGGCGGATAGTGTTATACCGAATGCTTTGAAAGTATCGATAACAAATGCCGTAATGGATGCGCCAATATATTTATTATATCCAGCATTGCACTCCATGGTTTTGGAATATGCTCGCGTAAGTAATTCAGTCTTTTATTCTTTCTTCTAATTTATTTAAGCAACGTTGCTAGCTATTGTTAATATAATCTTTTATCATTTATAGCAATTTCAAGATATTAATCAAACAGCACAGATAAAATTATTTGATGAAACCAGAACTGTCGCAAAGTCTATGCAGGCAGCTATCTGTATATTAAAAAATTTACCGGGACAATCACCTTCAGAAACATTAAAACTGTTACATGCATCCAAGTTGAGTTTATCATATCATAAAAATTTAACTGTCGTTAAAACAGCTATAAAATTTTTACAAGACATCTCGAAATATTCTTTAAGTGACGAGGATCGTGCCTTAGCAACAAAATTGATATTAAATTTATTAGCAAATGCAGATGTAGATGTTCAATATACCACGTACGTCGAATGCCACGCTCTGATTAAGAGTATCCTAGGAGTAGAATATAATAAATTATCATGGGAAAATTTAATGTTTTTATTCGAACCAAATGTCTTAACAGAAATTATTTCTCATGGCGCAACTAGCGAAGATACCAGGGTAATAAAAATTTTTATTCTAATATTTAAATATTTTTATTTTAATGTCCAAAATATTACAAAGTTATGATATGTGCAACTCTGATTTTATAATTTAATTTTATTTTGGTTTGATGCGCAGATAAATGAAATGTCGAGAGATATGTTAGTGTTTATACTAAAAGGAAGAATACAAATGGGTGAAACTGGATGGTTGAAAACTTTAGAAGCTCTCATTCCTGTATTATACCTTTTACAGTGTCATGCTGATACCCACACACCTTTAGGACAATGCATAACGAAAATGTTTGACCCTGATGTTTCTAATAGTATACAATTGCCTTTTATTGAGGTGATTTAATTTAGTTAAAGATATCTTTTTATAATTATTTGTTACGTGCTATATAGCTTTCAATTTTAGGTGTTAAAAGGCAATCTGAGATTTCTTTATTCGCCAAATAATGATATCCGAGAAGAAGCGTTATGTCGATTAATTTGGCTACTTGGGAAGGAAACGAATTCTGTTCAGAAATTGCCACGTTTATCATCTTTACACGGCTTGCCTCTTGGTTCACTCTGTATATTTGAGCGTAAAACTTTCATTAAGCGATCAGAAGGCAATTATCAGGTTACATATTTATATTCAGAATATTTACAAATGTCTTAGTATTTTGATTTAATTAACAGAATTGTTCTTTGTACATAATCAAAATCTCATTTTGTAATTATTAATATATGATTGAATAATTCATAGAAATGTTTTTTCCAGAGGAACAATATGTTATCAGTGTTAGAAATGTTGAATGAACCAAATGTCGATCCAAAAATTCGAAAGTCCGCATTAGTACAAATTAGCGTGATACTTTCCGATACTTCTTTGCATAAATTATTCATCAATCAAGGTGGATTATCTTTGATTTTAGATATTTTTAATAAAGCCTTGGTAAGCTATATTTGATGAAATTATACATGTGTCTTTTTATCAGATTTAAATATATTACATATTTTTAGGTAGAGAAAGATTATGTAAATTATCCTGATTCAGTGATACCGATAATCAGTATATTAAAACTACTTACATTATTTGAACGTACTATACGGCATGAGTTATCTCTGAACATTGATGTTTTTTTTAATATCATAAGAAGTATGTAAATTTTATTATAACTTTTTATGTAATTCATATATATTCAAAATTTTATTTAATTCCAGAATGTATCTAATCATATATCTATCCAGAATGTATCTCATAGTTCTAATTGATATTTCGATCTTATACTTATCTTTAACATATCTTTGGTACTAAGTGCATAAAATCTTTTATTGTAGGCCTCTTTTTATTTCCAAACAACGAGTGTATAAAATCTGATGGTGCGCAACTATTGTGTTTGCTTCTCTACAGCGAATATATAATACGAATAAATGAAAAAGATATGGAAAATATTGCATCACATATTTCATTACCTTATATTGTTGTGACAAATATGAAACTGCCATTCGTATGCAGATCTCATTGGAAGATGAGTGTACATAGGCGATCTGATGTATCGCGTAAGTAACTTTGTTATAAAATGTTTTGATTAGAAAAGCTATATTAATCATTCTATGTGATTTTATAAAATGAACACAAAAAATAAAGACTTCTTTATTTTATAATTTGTAGTACTTCATGGTAACAATCCGCTAGTTTTGACTTTTATTAGACAATATTGGGCTTGGGAATGGAATGGCGGTGTAAATATTATATGGAAATGTTTAAATGACTTGAAGGATTCCGAAATTGCACAAAAATTGATGATTCTTGAAAGTGATCTCCTTTCTTTACAATATAGTTTTCCTCAGTATTGTTGTCGACAACAACTCTACAACATTCAAAATTCTACTACACATTATAGTGTTACGTGCGCGTTGGATTATCTCACAATGTAAGTTATTATTAAATTGTCAAATTATTAGTAAATTGCTAGTAATAATTTCTTACTGCTATTAGTGGTCTTAATATTAATTTATAAATTAATATCAAACGCATGTTATTATTAACTATTTACTTTCTCAGGTATTTAAACTTTTACAAAGTACTTCAACGCGACGATGAAAAAGATATCGAATCATTGCCGTGGGAACAAACGTTCGAGCGATTTTTATTATCGCATCCCACGAGTAAAGAGGATTGCGATTTATTTGTGGATGTTTTAATCTTTCTACAATTATATTTAAACGTTGCAAAGAAAGGTAATTTGGAGAGCAAATATTGAAAGAAATATCATCGTTTTTCTTGAATATGAATTATATCAAGATTCTTTTTTGTCTTTGTCAGGAAAAAGATCATGGATCAGTAGAATTATGAAAAACATGACGAAATCGTTGGCAGAGTTATTTAAGAACTTGGAAGTAGATAATCAGAATGTGCATCAATCTATACTCAAATTAGTACGTACATGTTCAGCGATTGAAAAAATGCAGAAATTTAATGACGAACCTAAGAACACCTGGATTCGATTTGTAGAATTTGTTGTTTCAACATTGTGTTTTGGAGATCAACAGCATTTCTACAATCTCGGTATTGATATTTGTTGGACATACTATATTTTTTAATAATAGCAATTTCAGAATATCAATCTAAAAAGTTTAATATTTTATCCTTTTTTTACAGCATATCTTGACTGGTTATTAACATGTTTGACGTATTTGATTAGACAATGCGAATGGGGAAATCATAAGAATCTATTATTGTCTCTTTGTAACACACTTATTGAACCGATCGTGTCTTTTCATGGTGCTGGTACTGTTAGTTTTATGGGTTTATCGATAACAAGAAACTCAATAATATGTCTTAATCACTTGTTGCATCAAATGCAAGTTAATTTTAATAAAAACGTAAGTAATTTAAGTAAGTACTTTTCATTTCGTGTTTAAAAACCAACGTATTAAATACATGTATATATCAATCGCTATAATTATTAAATAATTTATAATCATTTTGCGTTCTATGTTAATTTTTAATTTCAATGCAAATAAATATGATAATCATTATTTTAGTCATGGATAGTATTTTGGTGCGAAGAAGGTCGTTCATTAAGTTGGTTACCCATGTTATGGCAAAATAGAGATCCTTTAGTTCGTGCTTCAGCTTTACAATTACTGGCAGGTCTGATGAAGACAGTGCATACTGCGTTACAACTCTTCAATGCAATTGCCATGGCACCGAGTGATTTGTGTTACACGTTATTACAATGTATCATAAACAGAGATGAATCTTGTTTAGTGAGAGAGCAAGCTTGCATTGCGTTCTGCAATATGCTAAAAAATTGCAACTCTATGAGCTTTCAATGTGTAAGTATAAAAGAAAAATATTAAATATGTTATTTAACTGTGTTAAAATTTTTAATTTTCTATTTTAATATTATTTCTTTAAATAATGTATACGTATTCTATATGTTGTTGAAATAGAATGAAAAACTATATATATATATATATATATATATATATATATATATATATATATATATACTATAATAATAGTAGTAAGTAAGTATATATATATATATATATATATATATATATATATATATATATATATATATATATATATATATATATATATATATAA